ATCCGCCTCCCACTCTCTCCCTATTTATTTCAAAACCCCCTTCCCCTCCCCCTTTTCTGATGAAGGGTCTAGGCCCGAAACGTCAGCCTCTCTGCTCCTATGATGCTGCTTGGCCTGCTGTGTTCATCCAGCCCTGCACCTTGTTGTCTGGGTATAGGGGGATATGGGCCAAACGCTGGTAAATAGAACTAGGGTAATTTAGAATATCTGGTTGGCATGGACAAGTTGGACCGAAGGGTCTGTTTCAATGCTGTACAGCTCTATGATTCTAAAAGTGTTGACTGAGAGTTCCAGCAACAGTGAGATTGAGTTGGGGACAATCAAATGAAGCTTCAACATCGGAATTAGGCAGTACCGGTGATGGATTAAATATTGGATCGAAAGCTCAGCTGAAGGTCAAACAAGACACCAAAGTTGTGTACATTGGGTTAAGTTCAAGCAAGCATCCAGGAAACCTAATGTGATAAGGAACTAACTGCAGTGGAGGGGGTAGGGTGCAAATCAGGGAGGCTTTGGTCTTGCCACCAGTTAGGAAAGCAAGAACATCCGATCGTAAGAATATGTCAGACAAATACTTATGACCATTAGTCGATAATGCACTATATAACTTCTAGGCAGTTATCAGACCGTTGAATTGACCCTAGCCTCAAATAATGTAACTTGCAATGTTGCCTGTATGCCTCCAAGTCTTTTGTGATCTGAACATCCTTTGTTTGCTGTGATCTGCCTGTACTGCTCGTAAACAAAGCTTTATCTAAATGTATTTTGGGACACGTGACAATAAGATCAAAACCAAATCAAAAAAGGCACCATTTACTGAGGTGTTCTTTTAAAAGACCCCTGCAACAATAAACTTTAAATGTTAGATGCTTTTGAAAACTTGGAGAAAAATCTCCACTTGCAGCATCAATTAGGCTGTTTGGCAGGTTACTCAGAACTGCAACATCATACTTTCATAATTACTTACACAATCTACTTTAAAGTTAGAATCAGCAACCATGCGCCACTGGTAAGGTTACATCTTCAATGATTAAAGGTAAGTGATTAAAACCATTTCTATGAGTAGCATTGTGAAGATATGTTGAGCACTTTAGCTGCTGAACCCACTAATAACTTAAAGAAAATGACCACTTTTGCTGAAATCACCTCTTCCAAACTGAATGTCAGTTTGCTGCTAGTTTTGTAACAAATCATCAACAGTCCAGTCCAAATGTGCTACGTTTTCAATCTATCGTTTAGACAAAAAAACTTCCATATTCCTAACTTTAAAATAATTACAATACTGTTTATCATATTTAAAACAGCACGTACTTGGGCCTCGGTTTCTCCTGTAATTAGGTTGATTTCCTCAGGCTTCGGAATCATGTATGTTGTAAGGTGTCCAATAGCATACACATGATTACTGTCATGCCAAGGCAGCATGCCAACATGGTGGAGAAATAAATGCGTGTACAGTGTCCCATTGCTACGAGTTTTCTTTGGTATTGAAACATTGACGATCCTTTTTAAAGATAAATAAGGGTAAGTTAAGATAGAATGATTCTTAGAAACACTGTTATTGGATACATATATTACGAAAGCATGTTTTAGCATTTCTAAAACGATAAATTTATGATAACCCAAGTTTGAACATCAAAGAACGTAGCATTCAAATTAAAGTGAAACTAAATCCAAACAAAAACTCATTTCCCTTCATTACTTCTAATGGTATTTAACAGTTATTGCTGAAATTCAAAAAAAACTAAGCATTTAGCCAGCTACTGTCCAATTAAACACAAACATTATTTTCTTTATAAAAGCAAATATTGAAACATACAATACTCTAAAAACGCAATCAAATTTGAGATCTATATCGATATTTAATCTGTACATCACTATTCCTCAATTATTTTATCTTTTAAAAAGCTCATGCATTTGAACTACTGCTAGGAAGTATTCATTTAACATAATTTTACCAAAATTCTCCATTTTAAGAGTTATGTGTAAACAACATAATTATTTTAACAGTTCTTGCATTAAATACATGCCTTTTTCCACACAATATTCAACACTTAACAAAGCTTATTTCTTAAAAATTATAAAAAAAAACTTGTATTTACAAAAAAAATTATACAATCCTTGCCACTTGTCCCCAGCAGTTTGTGTTGGTATTTATCCCCTACATTCATATTTAACAGGAGAGAAAGAATATCTTACCAACACTAAACAACCTAAATAATAACACCAATGGAGCAGAAGACAAACCTATTGTCAGTTTTTGCTTCTGATAATAATGACTTTTTTGACACTTTGGCTAAGATCAGTTTTGAACTGTAGTCTCATACCTGGCAGAAATACATGAGCTAGTTGCATTTCACTTAGCACTCTTATGTTTCCTATGGTTCGCAAGGTAATATTGAAATCAATGTCAAGATCCTCACTTTCAAATCGACAATAGTTTTACATCACAACTTGGGTAACCATCTGTAGCTATTCACAGTAACATAAAGGACAGAACAAAGGTAACTGCAAGTTTCAGGAGACCCATTTGGAATCAACAAAGCCCATTTTTATCTCGAAACATTGACACCAGATTAGGTCAGTGACAAGAAATTTGCTTCAATTTAATTGTTCAATTCACACGGGCTGTAATTTTAGATATTGAGAAGACTAAAGGGTCACATGCTACTTCGCAATTTGAAAAGAAAATAGAGCAAGACTCCAGATTACACACTGAACTACGTTTCAACATCTATTTTTGAGCAGCACATCAGAGAAAAGGAAAAAAAACATATAGAACTCTCTCTTACTGCATGTTTCTCTTCTCATCGCAAGATATATACCCAGTGAAAAAAGAAATCGGGGAAACAACCATTCACCGAGAGTGCAAAGGTCTACAGATTCTGCTATCGTTGAGGATACAAGTCAACCATTAAACTGTGGTTTCAGGTTAAGAATGTAAAATGTTAAAGACTCAAACTGGGTAACCTTTATTCTCGCTGACAGACTTCTTTTTAATACCCATGTTTGTACATGTGTTTGGTGTCACATTTCATTACTTTTTCCTCGAGTTTGGGAGGTAAAATTATTCCTCTTTCTTGCATTCAGGAAATGACTCTCTCATTTCTAGTGAACTACATTCCAATGAACTGCAATAGTTTTGGGCTAAAAACAATGTAGTAATTAGTTGTGGCCAACTATTTGGCATTAACAAGACTGAAGCTGATTATCTCTCCATATCTGGTTGTAATAGTACTTTTAAATCAGGAATATCAACCTTAACAGAAAGTCAACAAGTTTAAAGTGAATACTACTTGCAGTCATCAGGGGAATAAGCAGAAAAACATTCTGGTTCTATGGTGTCGGATAACCCAAATTTTACTGCATGCCTTACTGGTGCACTTACAGCAAGCAGTACTTCAAATTTGAGAAAATTAATTAGCAATAACAAAGTGACATTAAGTCATTTCCCTTTAAAATTTGTTTTCTGGAAAGACTGAAGTGAAATAAAATCAGGAATCCTTCAGACTATGGACTTAATCTTTGGCTCACAGGCAAGTGTGGAAGACTTACAAATCCATGAGCGGCATTAGATTGCACAACACAGTAAAATGTGTAATAAAACTCAAAAATAGTTACCTCTCAAATTTAGAGTTCACATCAAAGTGTTCCATCTTCAACACAAGGTTTAAATTGGCTCCATCAGTAACACTGCTTTTTGTAGACGTATAGATACTCAGCTAAAATACAAATTCAAAACTCTAAGCAAATTGTACAGAAACAGATTCTTTTTCAAGGCTGTGTTTGTGAAAGAGATTTTAATAAAATGCAAATTTTAACATCAGCCATATGAGCAAACAAAGGCACTTCAAGCACATCTGGGAGTGCAAACAATGACCATCACAACACAATGTCAGAAACCTGAAAACAGCTATGTTTAAAAGTTCTTGTTAGCACTATCAGCAACGCTTTATATACATTCCTAACAAGTCAAGAATGAAAAATCATAGTATCTCCTATTCAATAATCCATTTCACTGAAAACCAACATGTGGCAACATAACAAATTGAGATGCAATTTCAAACATCTACGACCACCAACGTATCACCCAGGTAACCTGGTTCTGTTTACAGTTGTATTTACTTGCTGGTTTCTGATTTTTTTAATTTGCCATTCTAAGCTTGGAAAGGTCTTTTTAAGCCTTGTTTGCTGCAAACAGCTATTTGCAGTGCTTTTTCTTGGACTACTCCTATTCAATTGCAATTGGATACAGTTTCTCAGCACAATGCTGCAGCTGACCTCAACATCATTTGACACATAGCATTATAAAGTTGATTGCTAACAAGGCAACAATAAACAAAGGTCCCATTCACTCATTGTATGACCCAATATGTAAGGATTTTTAAAAAACACAGGAACTTCAACCAAGTTTGTCTACGTACACATTTAAAAAAAAGCAACGTTGTAATCTGTGCTAAAAATGTGGGCCTCTGTGGCACAGTGGTAGTGTCCCTACCCCTGGACTGGGAGGCTTAGGTTCAAGTCCCACCTGCTCCAGAGGCGTGTAATAACATCTCAGGTTGATTAGAAAAATAGGTTAAAGTCATTAAGGTGAGCTGCAGCACTGAGCTGGGAGATTGTGTTAGTATTCACGCAATAGCAGCCAAGTTTAATCCAGTTAAGCAACCTCCCTCAGGATTGAAGATGACTTGTTTCCACTTTGGCTTGAATGATTCCAAAGTGGATGATAAGTCCAGTGATTGATTCACAGGTGTTGCTACGTGCAGAACAGTGATGCTCCGTCAGTTAGATTTTAATCCACTGCCTTTGGCTGTGTCAATAACTCAATTCAAAATTGGAAATTAGAGAATATATCACATGTACTGGAAAATAAACCACTGATGTGATTACAGAATTCACAGTTGCTAGGAAAAGTTCAGTAACACTGGCCACAGCTAGTCGTTTTCACTCTGAAAAATAACTCACCTCTAAGTCAAATGGATGTTGTATTCAAAACCCACTATTTGAGCTCAAATTTAGGCTGACTCTCCTGTGAGAGTACTGCACTGTTAGAAATGCTAAGCTTCAAGCCTCCAACTGCTGTGTCAGGTGGGTATGAAAGATCCCATTGTGTTAATTCAAAAAGTGGATGTGTATTTCCCAGTGTACTGGCTGAATATTTACTTCACAATCACAAATGACAGTTGTCATTATCATTTGATAATTGTCATTATCGCATTGCTGTTTGTAGGAGATTGCTGTGAGCTAATCGTTGCTGCATTTCCTGCATTGCAACAGAGTCTACACTTCAAAAGTACTTAATTGGTTGTCAAATGTTTGTTAGAAGTGGTATGTGAATGCAAATCTCCTTGATTTCTTGGTTTCTTACATGCGATCCATACACCCTGTCTATCACTAAAATTAATTTCTGCTCATGTTACCGCCACAGGATTAGTAGTAGGCTGCAAGATAACTGTACTGTGATAAAAATCAAATTATTATCTGTCAAACTGATGTTCTTAACAATATGTAGTTTTAAGCCTGCTTCCATTTCTGACCGCACCGTCTAAAATTTGACGAATTGACTTTCATTAATTAATCAGATGGAAAGAAACGTTAGAAATTCATACGCAAGTCTACAAAATAAAACTACAGTATCAACACATCAAGATTCAGTCACCCAGATACTTGCTTCTACAAGAAAAAAATGCTGCATTATAATTGTCATTCAGTTTTTAAAAGCAAGACTTGTATGGTGCAAAGTTGAATTTAAGAGAGCTGTTACTACTGTTGGAAGACATTATTTCATATTGCTTTGAGGTTGTTGACTTGCTCACCGAGCTGGCTTGATCTCATTCAGATGTTTCGTCACCATGGGAGGTGGCATCATCAATGATGATGATGATGATGATGAAACTTCATCAGAGGGTCCACTGATAATGTCACCTAGCATGGCGACAAAATGTCTGAGCAAGAACAAGCCAGCTCGGCGAGCAAGTCAACAACCTCACCCACAACCCAAGCTATAGATCTTTGCCAAAACTTTAAATCCATATTGCTTTGTTAGCATCGCATGGCTATTTCAGTAAAGTGCCAGCTACAAGACCTCTTCCTTTAACAAATGTCAAAAAAAATGCCATCCCTATCACTGATGTAGTTCACAGCACAAGTAGCTGATTTTCAGTTACACCAGAGGTCCAAGCAAAATAGAAAGAGATAACTAGCCAGGTTCTGGCTGCACGTAAAGATAAATGTATCAATTGTGACTTTATAAGACCTTTGAGGCAGCCATTGGTTTAAAAATAACTGCACATGTTCCAAGCAGTTTGAAAGTTGCCCCTCTACAGCATAAGTGGAAAAATATCAAAAGCAACAAGATTTACTGTAGATGCAAGTATTATATTCCTCAGATGCCTTCAAAGCAACCCTGAAGAGATCGAAGAATCCATACACCCTGTTACAGACAGAAAAGTTTCATTTGAGACGGCACCATACACGAACACACTTCCTCAGGAGTATGCAGGGGTAGAGCTGAGGCTGTGGCGAGTGTCCAAACCTCCATTGACCTGAGTGTCCAAGCATCACTGCTCTGTACACTGCAAAATCTGCAGATTGAATATGGTTCTTATTGTCAACTTTGGAATTAATGTGAACCAAAATGGAAGCAAGTAATCTTCAATCTGGAGAGAGATTGCCTAAAATGACTCAGAACAGTATTGTGAAACTGCAGCTGCACACTTCTGCAGCTGATGCACTATCACAATGGTTATCAATGAATTGTGTAAACCAAACTGAATCTCTCAGAGTGAAATGAACCTTTGCTAACAAAAAAATGAACTTTTAACGCATGGCATGTTGAGATCAAAATCTAAAATGTGCCATTTAAAGAAAAGTCATCAACTCAGCTGAAACCTGACATACTGAATAGCGGAGGAGAATCAACTGAAGTGTGTAAAAAGCAAAGGCACTGACCTGAATTCTAGGGTTAACAGCTAGATAAGGCTTGATGCAGTTCTTGTTCTTGGGGTTAGCGCAGGGCTTGGTGTAAACTATGCCATACATCACCCAGCAAGTGTGTAAAACATAGGCAATAAATACCCCCACGATCAGGGTGGTGAAAGAGGATGTCTTCAACCCAAACATATTGGG